GCTGCACTCGTCCTCCTTCCAGGGATGCCTGGGGGAAGCTTCCCTGAATGAGCAGAACATCGGCCTGTGGAGTTACGTCAGTCGGGAGGGCCAGTGCAGCGGCTGCTTCAGCAGGTAAACTTCAGATCAACACAACGTGCTTAACAACACCGAGCTTCTTCTCACCTGTCTCCATCCTCTGCATGTGTCCCAGTCCCCAAGCAGAGGAGACATCTTTCTACTTTGACGGCTCGGGGTTCTCTATGGTCCAGAAGTCTCTGAAAGCCACATCCACCTCCATTGTCCTGCTGTTTAAGACTCTGTCTCCAGGTGGACTGCTCCTTTACCTGGCCTCCAACAACACGGTACAACACACACAAACATCAAAGGCTTTTACTCTGGAGGGGGACACACAAAGACTTCACTTCCTGTTTCCTTCAGAGGGACTTCCTGTCTCTAGAACTGGTTGAGGGTCATGTCCGTCTGGCGTTTGACCTGGGCTCAGGGGTTCTGGTCCAGACCTCCAACAGGAAGTACAACACTGGAGTTTGGTTCAAGGTCACCCTGCAGAGGAACAAGCGAAAAGGTAGATCCAGGAACCCAGTAGCTGACTGCTTTAGGTGGACGTCCCGCTGACTGTGGACTCCGGCTCTGTCCAGGTTACCTGTCCGTCATGGCGGCAGACCAATCATTGGAGAAGGAGGTGTTGGAGGCCGAGTCTCCAGGAACTGCTTCAGACCTGAACCGCTATGACCTCGACCCCATCTACATCGGAGGGTTTCCTTCATCCAGACCAATCAGGTTGGTTAGCTGAAGATCACATGAGACGATGTGGACATCTATTCTGTCTTCACCTGACCGTCTCTGTGGTTGCAAGGCGACAAGTGGTGTCCCGGGCATACGTTGGTTGTATAAAGAACATGGAGATTGCTCGTTCAAACTTTGACCTGCTGAAGAACGCATTCGGGGTCCGGAAGGGTTGCATTCTGAAGGTACGCTACCTGGAGTTAGATTAGGTTCCTTACAGAAGTCCCCTCCCAGGCCAATTAGGGATCAATAACTTGATCGGTTGTTTATCACCAGGCGGTGCGGAGTGTCTCTCTGCTGTCTGGAGGTTTCGTCCAGATCGCTCCTCCATCATTTGGTCAGGAGGCGGAGTTTCTCTTTACCTTCTCCTCCAACAACCAATCAGGAGTCTTGCTGGCGGCCTTCAGTGACGACCGAGTGCACCGACAGGTGAGACCCACTCAGGTCATGTGATGCACCAATAATTCACCGTGGTTACCTGCTGACCTCTCTGTCCACAGTACTTCCTGTCCCTTCACTTGGTCTCAGGTGGTGTGGAGGCGGAGGTTGGGGACGTGGGCGGAGCCACACGGAAGGTTAAAGTATTGAAGTCCGGTGGAGGATCATTCGGTGATGGAAGCGAACACTCAGTTGTTATGACTGTCAACAGGAAGTATGTGTTGCCATGGAAACAATCGCCTGCGCTTGCCGACGGTCCCACCCAAACAAACCCTGTCCTGTCTCCAGGTCTCTGTCCCTCCAGGTGGACGATGCGCACCTGAAGTCTGCCCCTCTGATGTTTGGAGGCTTTTCTCGGCTGACTCCATCCTCTCTCTTCATTGGTGGGCTCCCGCCGGAGAAGGAGTCCCGTCTGCCAATCAGATTGCGAGTTTCATCCCAGCGATTCAGGGGCTGCATCCATCACCTGGTGGTGGGCGGAGCGTAAGTCCTTCTCTCTCACCGAGCCGCCGCCCACTGTCTCTGATTGGCTAATGGTTTTGGTCTGCAGGCTTGTGGACCTATCGGTTGCAGTCAGGTACAAGGGGGCGGAGCTTAACACCTGCCTTTTGGAGCGGAGCACGACGGAGGCTATGCTTCCTGATGACCCGGACATTGAGTCGATGCCTGCACACCTGCCTTTAACTCCACCCACACACCTGAGCGCCCTGACAGCTGCAGCGCTAAGAGTAAGCATGGTGTTTACTAGCAATGCACATGTGAGCTGCGTGCTGATTGGTCGGTGATCTAAGGCTGGTGATTGGTTTGTGTTGAAGTGTGTGGCAGAGCAGGAAGTATCCTTCCTGCCGTCGACAGCGCAGTTTGGTTCGTCGAGCCACAGTCACATGACCTTCCTCATCAACCCCGGTGCCTTCAGGAAGATGTTGGTCTCCATGATGACATGGTGGGGGGGGGGGCGGGGGTTGTGTTGCGTTCCCAGATTCTCTGATGCCACTCTGCTGTGTTGTGTCTCTTGGTCATCAGTGTATCGGTGAGGTTGTCGGTTCGAAGTCGGGCTCTGGACGGCCTCATGCTCCTCCTGTCCGACGCCAAGCAGATGGACTTTGTCGTCCTCGGTCTGAGAGGGGGACGGGTCAGGCTGTCTGCCGACCTGGGGAAAGGCCCTGCCTCCGTCCTGTCCGCCATTGTCAATGATGGACACTGGCACTCTGTGAGTCCATCTCCAGAAGGACATCTTCAGGGTCCAGAGCTGGACCGGGATCTGAACCCTGCCCTGTCCGTCCGTCTCTCAGGTGAGTGCTGAGGTGAGTCGGAGGTCCGTGTCCCTGACGGTGGACGGCTCCCGTCCTGCCACCGCTTCAATCAAAGGGAACCACCTGGACGTGGACAGGACGCTGTTCCTCGGAGGGTTACCTGCCAGTGTGAACGGCCGGAGGATCGGCGTAAGTCTCCTTATGACATCATACACATTTTACACCAATCAAGAGCCAGCAGAGTGGAGATCTGCCCGGAGACAGGCAACATGCAAACGTCTACCGAGTTCAAGAGCAGGAGACCAAGTGAGTTGGACCTGACTGAAGCTGTCCCCCCAATCTGTCCCTCAGGTTAGCAGCAGTCTCCCAGGTTGTCTTCGGTCTGTCAGTCTCAACGGTACCATGTTGGATTTGTCCAAGCCGTTCTCACAGCATGATGTCACTTCCTGCTTCACCAAGGATCAGACAGGAAGTTATTTCAACGGCAGTGGACACGCTGAGTTCAGTGAGTCCTCCAGCTCTTCTTCTCCTGCTGGGTCAAGCAATAGAGGACAGTCCAGGGTGTCTCTGGTTGGACGCTGTGGAGGAGTGGTGGGGTTGGTTTGGTCCTGAGGAGATGCCCAGGTGAGCCTCTGTTTGTCCCTGCAGTGCATGATGGGTATAAGGTCGGCGCTGACATGGCGGTGTCTCTGGAGTTCCGGACTAGCCAATCAGAAGGCATCTTCCTGGGCATCAGCAGCGCCAAAGTGGATGCCGTTGGCCTGGAGATGGTGGACGGACAGGTGAGCCCGAGCGGCTAAGGTAAAGACAGGTGTAGCTATGGTAACGGCGCTCAGGTGAGGCCCTCTCTCTCCTCAGGTGGTGTTCAATGTGAACAATGGGGCGGGCCGCATGGCGCTGCGCTCCACGGGCCCCATGCTCTGTGACGGACGGTGGCACCACCTGGTGGCCAGAAAGACGAAGCACGGCCTGGCGCTGAGCGTGGACGGGACACAGTACAGCGCTGCTAACCCCTACCCACAATCCACCTCTGCCGAGACCAACAACCCCGTCTACCTGGGCGGGGTTCCAGGTGAGAGCAGCTGCTGAACACCAGGTTCTGACCCATGATGTCAGTATTACGAGTAATATAATGCGTTGCTATTTCAAATCCAGTAATCAGATTAAAGTTACTTATCCAATTCACTCTGTGTTGCAATTTTCTTTTGTAATTTTCTTTTATTTTCTCGATGCGTCTTGAGGAGTCACCGCCGTTTCTATGCGACAGCAGCAGCGACAAAAACAAACACTGGAAACGACATGCGCGTTTTGTTGCTGGAAAAACAGGAACTATTTTGAGTTTCTGTCGCCAAATCCGATTATTTTAAGCGGCTTTGGGCTTGTTTTGTTTCTAAAGTCACTTGCAAATGTAATGAGTCGTGGGTTGCGTTTTTTGGGCTCGTTTTTGAACATGAAGTTGCTCATTTGAGCTTGGAAATAAGTAGAAACACATAATAAACCCCAGAATTTGTCTGACATCCAGATATTTTGTCAGGCTGTCCTGCCAATCATTTCCCAGATGATCCGTCCTGCTGCGTCTTTGTTAATGTCAAGTTAAAATATTTACTGTGAAAATATTAAAACTGCAAACATGGAGACTAATATGAAGAGCATAATAAACATGAAAACAGCCACAAGTGTCCGTAATGTTGTGCAGGTAAATGGCATTATAATTATTAATATTAAGTGTCACAAATCTGTGCAGCGGGACATCTGAGTTGTGGAGCCACAGGAGGAGCGCTGTGCAGCAAAGACAGGGCCGTAACGCACAACCTGGAGGCTGGGGACAGGGGGGCTAAAATCCTATTTAGTTTTCCAGACAGAGGAACACACAAATTACCAACATTGTTTTTATGTTGTTGTAACCATTAAACAATCTCTCATTCAGTTCAACCTTATAAGTGGAGACACATTGTTGATGTTATAAAATAACTTGCAACTAAGTTTTGGCAAAGCTTAATGTAATTTTCACAGGTAGCAGAGCGTTGTTGTCAGCAGCTGCTGAAAGTAACTAAAAAAGTTACTTTTAATGTAACTTAGTTACTTGCCAAATGACTAACCTACCTAAGTTACTTTTCTAAGAAGTAATCAGTAATCTGATTAAAGTCACTTTGTCAAATTAACTATGCATCTCTGGTTCTGACCCGTCTGTCTCTCTGTTGGTTCTGGTTCTGACCCGTCTGTCTCTCTGTTGGTTCTGGTTCTGACCCGTCTGTCTCCCTCCTCCAGCCAGCGTGAAGCAGAACTGCCTGAGCGTCCGCTCCGGGTTCAGAGGTTGCCTGAGGAACCTGCGGCTCGCCCGCTCTCACCTGAACCTCCCTCTCCACCTCAGCTCTGCCCACTTCCTGTCGGGCGTCACGCCGGACTCCTGCCCTGCCTCGTAGTGATCGTCGCCATGGTGACGTCATCTCAGGTTGATTTTATTAAAGCTGATGTCATCATGATGTAATCAGACAAACAAATAAACCAGAGAAGAAGAAAGTTGTTTGTTTCTTCATTTTAATAAAGTTCAGTGATGAAGGTGAGAAAATAAAACCGGACACCAGGGGGCGTGCTGGTTCACTCTGTCTGAGGCCATAAATACAGAAATGAGCCACAGATGAATTAAATGAATGAGGTCAGAGGTCAACAAAGTTCCTTTAACAGTTTTTCCAGAATAAAGAACATGAAGGATCGGTTCCAGCAGGTGGGTTCACCTGGATCAACTGACCCAACAGAAGCACTTCCTGTTCAGATGACCCAGTATCATCAGTTACCATGGCAATAGATCCAGGTGAGAATCTGGCTCAATTACCACAGATCCAGATAACATGCATCAGGATCGGTTGCCATGGCAACAGGCCCAGGTGAGACAGGCTGGTGTTCTGATGGCGAAAACGTATCGTTTCAGGTTCTGAACCTGCCAAGCAGAACCGACCCGGTCCAGAAATGTGACAAGAAGTGGAAAAATGTAAAACAAGTGAAACTAGTGTCTACCACTGAAGACTTCCTGCAGAGTTTCAAAATAAGAGTCCATCCTAACAGCTTCCTACTCCAACCAGGGCTTTTATTTTGAAGGGCACTCCTGTAGAGCGTCTACCACAGCAGACTGAGGTCAAAGTTCACTCCAACAGAGCCAACCATCAGGATCAGACCTGCTTCCTCCAAGCTCAATGGCACTTCCTGTTGCATCGTGGGCAAATACTGGCTGAGCCTTGGCTGTGCAAGCGATGGGGGCAGGAGGCAGATTTTCATAATAAAAGCTTCTCAGCAGGTTCTCAAACTGTCGGTCAAGAGCACACGTTAGTCAGTCGGCCAATCAGAAGGCTTCCTGAAACAGTCAGGGGGTGTGGCTTGAGGTGTGTGAGGGGGCGGGGCTTCTTAAATACATCACAGCTTCACCTGGAGACAAACGTCCAACTGCAGCGTACAGCGCCAGGGTGTGTGTGTGTGTGTGTGTGTGTGTGTGTGTGTGTGTGTGTGTGTGTACATCCGCCATGCAGTCATGTGGTGGTGAGTTCTCTGCTCCAGTTGGCGTCAGAATCCACTTGGTGGGATTGGCTGGGAACTACAACTCCCATAATGCAACAGAGGATCAACATTCAGTCCTGAAAGAGACAGACAGCAGTGAGAGAGACAGACAGGAGGACAGACAGGAGGACAGACAGGAGGACAGAGGGACCAAGCACATCAACAGATTGTTTTCGTAAATCATTATTTTTCATCTTGTCGTCTTCTGCTGTTTAGTTCCTTGGTCTCTCTCTCTCTCTTTTTATCAGCAGGGACATTTAGTGTTAATCAAGGGAACTGCAGCAGGAAGTGTGGGTGACTGAGTCACTGATGATCATGCAGGCATGCAGCAGAGCGTACAGCGCCTCCTGCAGGCTTTTCAGCTGATTGAGCCAATCAGAGCGCTCCATACTGAAGCTGAACCAGTAGAATCTGAGTTCAGTTTCTACTCAGAAAGTAAAGTACAGGAACCACAGAATTTAACAGGCTACCTGATTAGTTAAACCTGATCAGGTTTAACCAATCAGAGCCAGCCAGGCAGAGGCCATGCAACCGACCAATGAGCATTCAGCTGGAATCCCACCTGCCAGTGACATCACTAATTGATCTTGTGATCAGGAGGAACCTCCGTTTCTTTGTGGACGACGACTCTGGTGACCGACAGTTCAGGATGCTGTCGCCGCGCCTCGCAGAGCGCCGCCGCCAGGGCCTTTAAAGAGACGGGACGGTCAGAACCGGACCAGAATTGGACTGGACCGGAACTGGGACCAAGACCAAGACCAGAACCAGACTGTGACTGGACCGGGAACAATCTCTGGACCGGATCAGACCAGGACTGGACCGGAATCAGTACTGGGTCTCGGTCCTCAAATCCCTGCATCTCCAGGAGTCCCCCTGGTTCTGCCAGCTGGTGGAGCTGTAGGACGCGGGTCAGCAAGTTCTGGTCAGGCCTTTGTAGGAAGGTGAATCCTGCGGTTTCTGATCCGGTTCAACGTAGTGGTACCTGACAGGGTTCTAAGGGTGGTGGTACCTGACAGGGTTCTAAGGGTGGTGGTACCTGACGGGGTTCAGGGTGGTGGTACCTGACGGGGTTCAGGGTGGTGGTACCTGACAGGGTTCAGGGTGGTGGTACCTGACAGGGTTCTAAGGGTGGTGGTACCTGACGGGGTTCTAAGGGTGGTGGTACCTGACGCGGTTCTAAGGGTGGTGGTACCTGACGCGGTTCTAAGGGTGGTGGGACCTGACGGGGGTCTGGGGGGGGTGGAAACTGACGGGGTTGTGGGGGGGGTGG